AAAATCGTATCACCGTTATCGAAAAAATTCTATCGCGATATATATTGATATCGAATTATTGTCCAGCCCTACGTGGATGACGATCCCTTTAGCACACACTCCCAGAACCACACGCGGCTTTTTTTCCATGTGAGCCATGCGGTGGAACAGCACCCCATAGTCAGGAAGCTGCTGGATGACCTGGAAGTGGAAGGGAAGTGCTGCAGGTCACCTGGCAGAGGCGGAGCTCAGCTGGTTTTAAAGCCGGTTACCTTAATGATGCATGAAATGCAGTTCATTTCAACTGCATTTCCAACAGATCCTGCTCTAGAGTAAAGGACATACCTCTGGCATGTAGTCCCCAAATTCAGCCTGTAGAGCAAGACCCCCAAGCAGAAGGCTTGTCTCCTCACTGCAGCACAGCCGGTCCTCAAGAATATCCTTCCGCAGCTGTACTACTAAGTAGTACTGGTGGCGTGTCAGTTGGTGCCTGTCAGTAAGACGGGAACTAGTTAGTAGTGATGGTAAATTGAAGTTTTGTGAACCATTTTGCTGTATTTTCTGACGCCACTAGATGGTGCTCAAAGCATGCCCCAAAGCAAACCAAGACTGCCATCTAGTGGGGTCGAAAAATACAGCAAATGGTTCATGAAGTGTAATTGAGCCATTTCTACTAGTTAGGCATTTTGAACATGAAACCTGGCAATTGTTTGCTGCTGCTTGAAACATCACAGTCTCTCCTGGCTCAGTGAGAAATTCAACAGATAAGGACAGGGCTATGTGACTTACAAGATGAGGCAGATGTCATTGACAAAAAACTTGACTCTGAGAAAAAGGGCAAAGCTGGCAGAGGGTGTTTTCTTCCAAATGTCTGGAGCGACCTTGGAGATCTTTGTTTCAGGGTCCAGAAAGAAAAATTCATCGTCTGAAGAAACAGTAAGTACAATACTCATAAAAATGTGCATAAGGAAAAAAAAACTTTCCGAAAATAACTGAGAGACAATTACAGAAGGATGTCTCTTTGTTCATAGAAGCAGTGTGAGGAAAGCAGTCATTCTGTAGCTCTTGGTGTGGACTAGATGAGATTTAGGGAAGCAGACTTGGACATGAGTCCACAGCACGACAAGCCGAAGTGACAGGTGCCGTACCGTCAATGAAGGCGAGGCTGAAGTAGAAGGGCTCCATCAGCCTGGCATGGGCCACCACCATGTCAAAGACATCCCTGCCCCTAGACTGGACATCACACCGGACCAGCACACTCTGTCCACTGGGCATGCTCACGCTCACCTCCCGCTGCGCCGCCTCCGAATTCCCTTTCTTGGACTGTGCTTAGCGAAGGAGGTTGGGGGAGATAAGAGGGCAGGTAAGAGATAAGATTCCAGCCTGACCAGTACAGTGAGAGAGAAGCCCACCTGCACTCACCACAATGGACCCGGGCAGCTCCAGGACAACCGGCAGCTCCTCCCCCATCCTGACAAACTCCCGTCCAGACCCCTGTGAGGAGAGACAAGCAGAGTGTCACCGGCTGATGAGTACTGAATGTTTCTCTGGCTATGAGGGGAACATCTGGGTCCTGGGCGACCCGTGGACCGCCCTGCCCACTGACGTGTGCTGAGGAGGCCCCACCCCCCAGACCTGAGCTGCCGCTGGCCTTGTTCTATCCTCTTTTCATTGAAGTTACCCTTCTGGGTCACATGTTTGCATGCTGGGCACTTCACTGGAATCCTGGAATATGCCCATGCCATTAGGAAAGAAAAAATCAATTGCTGAGATAACCTGACCATTCAGTAGATTCAGGTACTCAGCTGATTTCATTTCATTGCGGCATAACATTGCTAAGCTGTAATAATGATCCAATCATTGGCTCCTAAGTACTTGCTGATTTAAATTAAACAGATTCAAACAGCAACTTTGTTTTTGGCCAGTTTCATCCCACAGTCCAAATGCATGCAGGATAGGTTAATTGGTGAGTCTAAATTGGCCCTGTGAGTGTCTGCACCCTGCAGTCTGTTAGCAACTGCCCAGGGTTGGTTCCCACCTGCGCCCATTGTTCCCAGGATAGGCTCTGGTCCCCCCCTGTGACCCCAGTTGGGATTCAGCGGTTTCAGAAAATGGATGGATTTGGTCCCTATCAATGTTGAAAGTAAACCTATGTCTTTAACCAGAGACTATAATATATCTACGAAAACACTTTGACTTGTTGTGCCAAACAGAATAAATAGTGTTTCTCTGTGCCCTGCAGCTGCAATCATGCTCAGAATGCACCTACAGCTGCGGAGGTTGCATGGATGCCTTGCCTTGCCTGCCTGAGTGCTTTTCTTCTCTTGTAGGTCTACACCTGCTCCCTATTCCCACCTCTGGTCTCCAGAGCACACTGTCGCTCACAGTTAGAGCCAAAAGGACAGATTATACCTTACTGGAGCTCAATTGCCTCCAGTTAGAGTTCCAGGGTGAATTCAACCATAAAGCACAGAGATGGCCGCCGCCAGTAGTGCTCTGTGTCATGTACGCAATGTGATGTCAGTCCAGGGCCAATGTGTGCCGATATATTAAGCACATCTGAGTCCTGCTGTGCAAAGCCCCTCTATGAGGGGGCAGAGAACTAAGAGCAAGACTGATCCCAATCGGTCTGCCATCACAAAAAAGTATCGACTCATATCATTATCTGAGTTCAAAATATTAGTTTCATAATAAAGTTCTCATCAATGTGGGTATTAAAATAATGTGTATCTGGCGCCACCCTGTGGTTCATTGTGAAAAGACTAATTGTAAGATTAGCTGTACAATATTTGAAATACAATGGCTTTACAATTTGACAAATAGGGCACGATAATTATACGGATATATGAACGTACAGCCCTGCTATACTTAAATGTTTACAAGTACTTTAAATGGTATAATCGGCATAACGCAGGCTTGATGCAAAATAACGTTGTAGTAAAAGAACAACGATAAAACAGAAATGGTGACCTACTGACACTAGATGGAGCAGTTGTCGTATTACTCTCCAATGACCGACTTTTGCAAACGTGAAAGTGATTGATATGTAGAAAATCATCCTACTACTAAGCGTAATAACCAAGCTGTTGACAATATAATACAATTATTAATAGCTGTCATTATGTACGATGCCTAAAATGTTAAATCATTCTGCCTCTGCCAACAGAAATGGTGATAAAGAGGCAGTGATGTAAAAAGAAAAATAAATATATTGCCTAACCTTAACTATAATCCTTAGGCTCAGGGACCAAACATATATATATATATATATATATATATATATATATGGAATATTTATGTACATTTATAAATTATGCATTCTAAATTGATAGGAAGAGTTCTTAATCTTCTCTGTGGCCAGCCTGGTGCCGATGGATCGCCCTGGCAATATCTTGGTGGTGGTGAACCTGTTCACTTTGCCGTATGGGCAGCAAATGTTACATGTGAGCTGGCTGCAGCGAAACAGCAGGAGGGCCCCGGATCTCGCTAAGGTCACAGTGCAGATGCCCCGCATCTGAACTGCTTGGTGCTTGGTGATTATCTTTTATCTAGCCAGGAGACCCACTTCTCACCCTTGAGGCCAGTGTGCACACCTACGATCCAGTGTGTACAAATCATTTCCCTAATAAAATGGTATTTCCATCCTAGTGAGAACCCAAAGATCAACACATACAAAGGCCCATAAGGACCAGGATGTCAGCCTTAATTGATCTGATCCCTGATTAACATGCAATTACAAGAGGCCATAAAAAGCAAGTTAGAGAGTCCACAAGCTTTAAGACACAGTGGGTGGGTCTTTAATAGATATAGAGACATTGCTCACATAGCTCACTACTGACTGGGCAATGGACCCAGAGACCTTTCTTAAAAGCTCTCCAGGTCTTTGTAACACAAATTAGCAGCTTTCTAAGTGCTGACAATTAAAAGGCTTGGGGAGGGGAGGTAAGTGAATCATAAACAGGTTCACGCACAAACACACACTCATTTAGATAACCCTCTTACACACACACCGAAAAACTCACACAAACAGGCATTCATACACACACTCAGATGCACACCAGCCAGTGTTCACACATACACAGACACACACATATACACACATATACACAACCAGCTGGTTAACTCCCATTTCCTGCGCAAAAAAATGAATCACAACTCTTGCTGCAGAAGTCAGCGTTGTTCTGAAAATAGTCTTCTTACTTCAATTTTCATGTTTGTTTTGACATATAAGAAGAAGCACTACTGATTCAGAGAGAAACTTGACATTTTTTTTGGGATACAAAGGGGGATGTGACATTTGTTGAGAGGTTAAACTCAGCATGAACATCCTCACAAAATCAACAGCCCCCTTGAATTCCACATGATAAATTAACCACTGGATATTACAATGTTAGACTCCACATTAAATGAATTTACAACAAAACACACAACATTACCCACCAGTGAACATTTAATTAGCCCAGAATTCAGGCCATTGTCAATAACAGGCTTCACACAGCAGTAATTCTGCCATAATTAGCCTCAACATAGAGCCTGCTAATACTCAGCACAGTCCTTTGAACTTATAGTACCACATAAAGTCTCACTCATTTATAGAGATGGATATTTCTAAGATTTTTTCAACCAACTCTGTGACTGTGACTCTTTATACTGGTTGGTTGAAACAAAATCTTGGCCTGGATTTTTACTTTCTCTACCTGAAATGTCCACCTCTTCTCATTTACAGCACGTCACCATTTTTCTCCATCAGCCTGAGCAGTAAGACTGCACATCCTCAACATAATCACCCATCACTTCCTGTTTTGCAGAAAGTGCTAATTACACAGCATCATAATCCTTAGAAGGAAAGTCTTTGCCAGCAGAGCTGTCCTAAGTTTTCGGTTATGTATGTACTTTTTCCCCCGTGATGGCATCTGTCCAATGGTGTGATATAGGGCTCTTTGTCTCTGTAAACATGGCAGGTTTGATGCTTTAACCTTTTTAACCCTTTTTGTTATAAACCCCCCCTCCAGGAGGGACCACATCTCATCTTCTTCCCGACACAAACATCCTGCAAGACCAGGGTAGGGCTTGGTCTCATGTGAGGAGGCTTGTTGTAGATGGTATGATTGTCCTTCTGCCATCTGTGTTACAGTCAGTATTCAAAACACTCTCTTCTTGCCTAAGACCTAAGACATAACAGACTCAATATGCCTCCCCTCCTGGGCCTACCAATGTCCAGTTTTGGGATACCAAAATGAGACTAGGATGAGTATTTTTTCCTACATGCTCACTGTCACAACTCAGAAATACTGTACTTTCTAGAGCATGTCAGACAATGTCAGGCAATGATCAATAATTCTGTTAGATTCAGGCAGTGTAAGACCCCCACACAATGCCGAGAGGTGATTTGTACAGTTTATATAAGAAATCACATATCTAAACAAAACCAAAAAAAAAGAAAGCTGGGATGAATCTACCAGGAAATAAAGAAGCCAGATTAATTAGCTGGTGATGGTGATATTTGTATAGTGGCTAAATATTGAGGATGGTACAGTGTTCTAGTATAACTGTGTACATAGAATCAAACATATTAGTGTCCCCACAGACATGGCAAATAAAAGAAACATCTGGCTGCCTTCAAGCAGTCATGGGTATACAAGCAGGTGATGATTTAAAAGAAGTGGCTTTTTGTTTTCATTGAAATGTGAGTTTCTTTAAAGCAACACGTAGTACATTGGGATGCCTGAGTGGACACATTTCTGCTGACTGCTACAGCTGGGACAGAAATTCTTGTGTCAACTCACATAATGTGAAAATAGCAGAACACAGCTGCAATTGGTGTATATACAAGACCATACTTCCAAAGATAACACAGAAAGTACAATGACGGCAGAAAGAGGAACCAGAAAACTGATCTGAATTATCATTCCAAATAAAAAGTTGCCACAGCATACTCTAATGGTACTGTGGACTTTTTCATTAAAGTATTGCATGACGAAGTAAACCAAGAAATTAGATTTTGTGTAATGGTGAGTAACAGAATAGCCTGACCTACAAAGAAGCGAACATGAAGGCAGTGGTATATATTTAGTTAGGGCATAATTGTACAAATAACTCTGCCTTGTCTCAGCACTATCCCGCTATCTCTCGTTCTGCTGCAGCCGGCTTCTACCTCAGCTCTCCAACGGCGTCATAAATAATCTGAACTCTGCCCCCTGCTGCTTCATTTTAGCATTATCCCAGCAATCTCCCGTTCTGGGCGTTCTGGTGCATCCGGCTGGTATCTCAGCTCTCCACTAGCCAATTATAAACGATCTAAGCGCTGCCCCCTGCTGCCTCATCTCAGCAGTGTCACCCCGATACCAGGACTTTGTCTCTGGTTCTCCGTTGTTCGTGTCCCGTTTCTTGGACAGTTACAGTCCCGACACAACAAATACCCACAAATTTAAAATGAATAAGTAATCGGTTTACTCTACTTCTCGGTAACCTGTCATTCACTGTTACTACGTCCTCCGTTGGGAAAGTTCCATGTGTGAATACCTGTTTATGTGTATGTAACATTTTCCGAGAATTTACAATTTAAATTTACTATTGTAGCATTCAAATACCGATATTAAGGTACTAATAATCTTCCAACGAATATATTAATAAACTATATATTATGTTTATCTCATGTGGAGTATTATTATCCTACTATATTTATAACATTATATTCCCATCCAGACCCATGAGCTTAAATAGAATTATTGTCGGTACAGACATATTGCAGGACACCTGAGACGCCGCGGATGCCCGGCTCGGTGTCGGGGGCGCGCGCTGCCGTGGACGCGCAGCGGGCGTGTGACGTGAGGCGCCAGTGGGGCCCGATGCCGGCGCACGGAGCGCAGGGACGCTGCCGCATGTCCTACTGTACGCCTTGGGAAGCTGCAGCGGAAGCCGCGTGTGGCGGACACTGGGACGGCCGTGGAGCGTCGCGGCGGTAAGTGCGTCGCGGCGTCTTGGCGGACGCGCCATTGTTTGTCGCGTAGGAGGGCGGGCTGACGGCGGATCGTATCTCCGGCTTTTCTGACAGACGGACGAGGTTCTGCTGTTCACGCCTTAACATGCAGGCATTGTCAGCCCGTCTTTTTCCACTGTCTGCCTCCGCGCACTCGGAGCATATCTAGGGTGATTATGAAGCTACCGTTTATATATTTTCGAGGATTCCTTTGCAAATAATAGCCAGTTAGCTAGCTAGCTATCGGTAACCTTTCGAGTTGGTTTTGGGATACAACAGCCAGCTATGAAGCTGGCTAAACTTGTTATTGAAGTAGACTGTATGGCCCTCGGCTGTGGGGCTAATATTTGTAATAGCATTTCACCGTGACAAACCCGACGACACTCATTGTGTACTGTATGTGAACCCTTACGCTTAGTGTCTTGCGTGTTTATGTAGCGTCGGCACTGCAGTCGTCTGAGACATACGCTGTCTGTCTATTTGGTGTCGGTATTCTGGATGCCTGAAACACACGTGACGGTGTATGTACGGTCAGTACTATATCTTTCTCATGTTCTTTTGTGTGTCTGTGGTCAGTAATGTGGCCGAGTCGTACATGTGTGTTTATGTAGTGATAGTATTGTATCTGGCTCCAAGTCTCGTGCAAGTGTACATACGGCCACTACTATATCTGGCTTAATGTCTCGTGCCTGTTTACATACGGCCAGTACTGTTTCTGTCTCCCAAGTCTCGTGCCTGTGTATATACGGTCAGTACTGTATCTGTCTGTGTCTCCAAGTCTCGTGCCTGTGATTATACGGTCAGTACTGTATCTGTCTCCAAGTCTTGTGCTTGTGTATTTACGGTCAGTACTGTATCTGCCTCCAGGTTTCGTGCCTGTGTATATACGGTCAGTACTGTATCTGGCTTGTGCTTGTGTGTATACGGTCAGTATTGTAGCAGTTTGAGTCATTGTGTGTCTGGCTATGTATGGTAGCTGTTTGAGTCATACAGGTCTGTATATATGGTTGGTTCTGCAGACGGTTCTTCCTAGACCCAGCAACCCAGACAGTGTCACACCTTTAACTGTGCGTACATTAACTAGCACTTGTGCTTGACGTCTATTTATCACTTCACAAACCACGTGTCTGTGGCTTTTGCGGTAGCGAACAGTAAGAATAACAGTTTATGTGGAGGCTCTACATAATTTCCCAGTTGACGGGCGAGGGCACAGCTATCCAGATTACCTTTAAGAAATATATAAGTGTATGGCTGATTATGTAATTTTATTAAGCCAATATGGTTAAGGACCTGTCTGATGGATCACTTAGTTACTTAGTAAGGTTTTTGTGTTGAGGATTTTAAAAGTAAAGGCATGCAGACAGGCTTCATATAAAGCACATTAGAATCTCCATGGTTACTTTGAAGTCCCCAAAGTCTACCTTCACTGACATGCTTGTCTTACATTTTACCCAAATTTCAGACTTATTTTGTGGGCTGAGTTTTAAATAACTTGTAAGTATTCTTCATTGGAATTGGAAAGTAAAATGTAATCAGTATTTTATTTCTTATTCTTTTTTTTATGATATATTTTAGAATTTAGGCCATGCAACTTGCTTCTTTTCATTATATCCTTTGGTAGTTGAATAATGTACCCACTTAAGTGTTTATATGGCAGTAATCACACCAAGTCTGGCAGCTGTGTTTCTAGGTAGGAATTTACTCTGGAAATGTTTGGATTTTGGAATGTTTCTCTTAAACGTATGAATTAGGTGTTTTGAATTATTAAGCATTTCAACTGCAGTCAGACTGAAAGTCTGTGTATTTCTGTTGTAAATGGTTGCACTGACTTATGGGTAGTCAAGGCCTGTTTCTGATGCTGGTCTAAGGAATGAACCCAAGTAAGGTGAATCTGTCTGGTGCTCTGGGTCTCTGCCCTTGGGTTTGGGCAGAAAACCTTTTATGGTTCTTGAATAATTGATGATGTCGCTGATTTCTTCAAAATGGTTCATATTGGTCGTCGTTTGGCACAGGTAAGCTGATATCTACTGAAACAGCTTCCTAGTGTGACTATAAATGCTACTGGCATCATTTCTGTGTGTGGTGCCAGCCTGAGCCTGTGCAACTGTCAGTGCCCCCTCCTGTCAGACACCTGTCTTACTGTATCCACCCTGAAAGTGGAGACCTTGGCCTTTTATGCATCTTTTGCTCTGGCAGGCCTCATTCTCCTGCAGCCGTGAACAGGATTCAGGGCACAGTGTGTGGTATGCTTTATGGGACCCTCGTGGCTCCTTGAGTCAGCCACTGGGTTTGGATGTTTGGAAAGTCTTAGAGGCTCGAGAAATGAGATGGTAGTTCCACTGGCGGTGTTGGGGGGAATGGACCAACTGGTGTGTCAGAAGAGTTGACCAATCAGGGAGCGCCTGTCACTCGCTGTGATACCATCGTTTGCTTAGTCTGCTTATTTACTCTGGGATATTTTGTCGGGAGTAATATCGCTCATTAATCAGCTGCTGAATGCCAGCTTGTTTTGTGCAAGCTAATTGTTTTCTCATGTAAACAAGCCCACGGAAATATGTGTGTGGCTGAGCTGTGGCTGAGCGGGTCAGCTGAAAACGGCTGGGTGTTTGCTTTCTTAGGCTCTGAACACGAGGTTTGCATTTCAGCAGCTTGGCACAACGCTAATGCGGCAGAATGCGGACGAATATTGTTAAGGATGGAGCTGCTTGCAGGAGGGCCCTTGAGAGTTTACGGCCACCCCCCACCAAGCTACCAGCCGGCCAAACCGCTGGCTCACTTCTGTGCTAGTGTGGGCTTTTTTTTGTCATTACCAGGCATGGCAGTGGGTCAGCTTGCCTCTTTGTATGTGGCATTCTGTTCTGGCTGTAGAAGTGCTAATGGCATTTTGGATGTCTGGTGTCGTTTGGGGTCTCAGATACTGTCAGGAGAGAATGGTCTGGTGAAAGCAGGGCACTGAATAGATAGAGCTCTGTGGTGTCTGCGCTTTAGTTCAGTTATTGGACTTCTGAGGAAGGAAAATGGAGTGTGTGCGGGTGTACGTTCATCTGTGTGTGTGAATTATGTTTATGTTACATTGTTGGGTCCAAATGTTCCCCACAATGTGATAAAAATCTGTTTTTTTGACATTGTGGGGACCATTTTTCAGGTCCCCACAAAGATCTGTGACTGCAATGGGCTGGGTAGGGGTTAAAGTCGGGATTAGAGATTCCCCAAACCTGTGATTGTGTGCATGCGTCTCAGTGTGCCTGTGTGTACCTGTGTGAATTCAGGGCTGTCTGCAGGTACTCAGAAGTATAAATCAGCCTTTAGCAAGAAGGGCTGACATCAGCACTGTACTTCAGGGTGCTTGTCAGACTCGATTGATATTAAACCTCTAAGCATTTAACTTACTTTTTAGTAAATTAGTCTTTTGCCAATTTATCTTAGTTTGGACAACGAACATGTGTAAATGTATTGGGTGTATAGTACCTCCTTGGTGGATGGCACAGCATGTTTTTGACTATAGCATTCTCCTGTTAAGGATAATGTTTTGTACAGAAACCAATGGTTTTAGCTGTTGGAAAGACCTCATGTTGATCTGCTCTTTGGAATAACTGAAGTAAAAGTAAGGACTGATTCTACCATATTTGCCCTCTGTTACTCAGTAAAGGTATGGCTGTCATATATAAATGGATGTTTGGGATTGAATTCCTTTATGGAGGCTGTCTCTGACAGCTTAAAGTCTCCCTCCTTGTGAAAATATTGTTCAGTGTCTGTAGTGTACATTAAATCTCTGTATGTAATAACGATTTTGGGTGAGAAGGCTAATATTTTTTGTGTCTTGAGTTGTAGGTGTTGAGAAGAGAAATTTTTGTTGAATGCCCAGAATTCAGCTTCCCAAGATTGAACCATGAACAAAAACAAGCGGGAGAAGGAGTTCTACAGTTTGGATGTTGGCGATTCCACATTCACTGTTCTCAAGCGCTACCAGAACTTAAGGCCCATTGGCTCAGGTGCACAGGGAATCGTCTGGTAAGTCTGTTGGCTGTCAGTACAGTAGGTCATTTTCAGCCCATGCATGGAGGTTCCTTTGTAGCTCCTAGTATTCCAAACGGCTGCACATTTAGCAGTTTGAGAGTTACTGAACACAATGGGAGACAGGGTTAGGCTTGTTTGTTGGCTGGTGTCCTTGGTTGAGCATTGCGTGGTGATCTTTGCTGTGCTTTGGCGTTTGGCTAGTGTTCTTGTGGTCCTAGGCTAGTGTTCTGCCCCCAAACTTGTTCTAATTTTGCTTTGTTTCACTTCACTTTCAGCTCCGCTTATGACCACTGCCTCGAGCGAAACGTGGCCATCAAGAAGCTCAGCCGGCCCTTTCAGAACCAGACACATGCTAAGCGAGCTTACAGGGAGCTGGTGCTTATGAAATGCGTGAACCATAAAAACGTAAGTTCACAGTGCTGGACCGGCCCATGGATCCATGCGAGGCCCTGAGTACGACCAGTGCTCAGTCTTGTATGGGTGTTAATAATACCACTATGAATGGGTGTCTGGTGTGACTCAAACCGCTACAGGTCCTGGTGGACATCCTGTGGTAGATTGCATGGAAGCTGCTAATAGGTCACCTAAAGCAAGGGGTGAGGTCACCTTACCAAAGCCCCTTCCCTGCTGTTTACTATTAACTACAAATGGTCATTCTATGAGTGAGGAAGGTGAATCTCACCCCTCACTCTGTGTCAGTCCAGGGTAGGCAGCCGTTTTTTGGGGTACGCAGATGCCTTTAAGGAGTAGGAATGTTCTTCTATAATTGCTTTGCAGATCCATCCATTTGGTGATGTCAGTGTTACCTGTATTCCACACTTTACTGTAGGATGTGTTAAGAAATGTGTAAATGGTCAAAGTTATAACATATATTTCATTTCTTATCTCCACAGATTATTGGCCTGTTAAATGTATTTACTCCTCAAAAAACACTTGATGAATTCCAGGATGTGTGAGTATTTGTTCTTAAATACATGTTTTTTTTTTCATAGTACTTGTGGTGTGACTGTGATTTAATACTGCTTAGGAGTAGCATAACCCATGTTGTCTGTGTTATAGTGTCAGTGCATTGAAGGTAAGACATATGGTATATGACATTAATATGAATATGGATTTAACATTTAATTGATGACATAAAGATTATTATTCAGACAGACAATTGCGAAGTGCGCCTTGGTGTAGCTGCTAGCTGAATTCCCCCAGTGGTTCTGTGGTCTGGGGCTGTGGCCCAGTTCTCAGTTCTCATTTTTTTTTTTTGAGAACTTGCTGGACAGTGAAGCAGCAGCAGGACCAGCCATGAGATTGTGACATGAGGATATGAGTGTTGGGTCACCTCAGGTGCTGAGCCACTGTCTTTGATCTCCCCATGTCTGTTCACAGGTACCTGGTGATGGAGCTGATGGACGCCAACCTGTGTCAGGTGATCCAGATGGAGCTGGACCACGAGCGCCTGTCCTACCTGCTCTACCAGATGCTGTGTGGGATCAAGCACCTGCACTCTGCTGGGATCATCCACAGGGTGAGACTCCTCTCCACATCCCTGTTGGACAGGCCTCCCCTTGATATGTTTGAAATTCAATTACACCATAATTTAACCTTTTTTACCTTCTCATGATGAAAGGAAGATTTCTTTTTCAAAGCATTGGTATTAATTGGGAGAAGTAGTTCAGAGCCTGATAGACTGTGCTGATAAATAATGTTAAATGCTTTATGTGCCATTTGCACAAATACAGGTATTCTGTAATCCTTCTTTTCGCCTCCTCCATCTTGCTTTCCTTAGCTTGGGGGTCACAGCACAGGGTCAGCCAATGTGTGGCACCCCTGGAGCTGCAGTGTTAAGGGCCTTGCTCAAGGGCCCCAGATTTGTGACCGTTCTGCTGAGGCCAAGGCTCAAACCGGCCCGATCACGGGCACAGAGACTGAGCCACTCACTGCCCCATAGGTTTTTAGGCTTTTAATATGACTTGTGGGTTGGGTTTTCACTGCGACCTTCTTCCTGTCCACCCACAGGATCTGAAACCAAGTAACATCGTAGTGAAATCCGACTGCACCCTGAAGATCCTGGACTTCGGTCTGGCCCGGACGGCGGCCACGGGTCTGCTGATGACGCCCTACGTGGTGACGCGCTACTATCGGGCTCCCGAGGTCATCCTGGGGATGGGGTACCAGGCAAATGGTGAGTGACTTCCTGTTTCCACACTGATGTACTGATGTCATAGAGACCCTGGAACACTCTGCAACTGGAGTTGATGATCAGTATTAGAGAAACACAAGTTATTAGCGGAATTAAATCTTTGTGCTATGGGTCACGTGACGCATTTTCTCATGGAGACTTCCCTGCACGTATGCGTGCCGTGTCTGATCCCGAAGCTGGCCTGGCCTGCAGTGCGCACGTACACATGTGAGGGTGCTGGCCAGCTCCTTTCCTGAGTCCAACCTGCTCACTCACTGCTCTGCTGTTGTTCTCTCCTCCTGTCTGTGCCACGCGCTCTTAGTGGACATTTGGTCTGTGGGGTGCATTATGGCAGAAATGGTTCGCCACAAAATCCTCTTCCCGGGACGGGACTGTATCCTTGTGCTGCTGCCTGTGATCAGCTGGGCCTCAGCTGTCCAAAGCGCCTTTGCACTCCGAATGGGCGGAACACAGATGGCCCGTGTTCCACGTCGGTGTCATTTTAATTCAGCTATGTCCGCAGTAGTAACTGGTGGTTTGAAGGTGGGTTTCAGTTCATAGAAAGGTGGTTTTCTCGTATCCTCACTGGTTATGTCCGAATATTGTACTCAGCTTTGTCCCCTGAGTCGCCACCATTCCGAGACATGATGGAATGCCGTAAGTGTGTAAATGCTTTATAAGCAGCTTAGCTTGCTCGAAGGTTTAACTGTTTCAGTCCATGTGTTCTGAATGTGGACGGGCCTCTGAGCCGCACTCGCTGGCTCTGTCCTGCATGTCCCCACCCCCCCCCACCCCGTCCCCTCTATTCACCATACATTGGTGCGTCACCGTTTATCAGTTCTTTTCATTTTCGCTTGTGTGTTCTGCATGTTAATTTTATGTCCTTCATTTTTTCAGTTGATGTCTGGTCTGTTGGCTGCATCATGGCTGAAATGGTCAGAGGTAGTGTGTTGTTTCCCGGTACGGATCGTATCCTTACCTGTACTCCATTCATCATGTGTGTGTTTGGATGTTCCCTTGGATACCATTGCTTCTTGCCATGCTGGCGTCATGCCTCATCATCAGAGTTGTACACACTGCCTGCCTCTCTAGTGTACTTGTCCCCTCACTGACCAGCATACAGACCCATCCAGACCAGAGTCTCTATTGTCTTTTCTGGTTGCTGTTTGATTAGTGGTGTGCTTGGAATGCTGGGTAAGGTTGGTCCCTCTGCAGGATTGTGTATAGCTAAAGTGTCGGAGGCTCTGGATGGATCACGTTGCCCACACTTTGTGTCAGAGTTTGTGTAGGCCGCTCCACGAAGGCTGTGTCGTCCTTAAATGCATCCCATCAGACATCGACCAGTGGAACAAGGTCATTGAGCAGCTGGGCACACCGTCACAGGACTTCCTGATGAAGCTGAATCAGTCTGTGCGCACCTATGTGGAGAACAGACCTCGCTACGCCGGATACAGCTTCGAGAAGCTCTTCCCCGACGTGCTCTTCCCGGCCGACTCCGAACACAGCAAGCTGAAGGGTGAGATCTCTGCTTTCCTAGAAGTAATCTGGGTCATGCTGTGCCCTGGTCCTGTCCATGTGTTTCTGTTAATGAAACGTGGGCTACAACTGAGGAACACTGAGACCGGATACTCATTTACCAACATCACCGACCATGTCGTCCAGATGGACTGCATGAATATGCTTTTGTGTAATGATAAATATTTATGGTTGGCAAGGTTGTGGTAGCCTCTGATTTTATCTTGCAGCGAGCCAGGCCAGGGACCTGCTGTCGAAAATGCTGGTGATTGATGCATCAAAGCGCATCTCTGTGGACGAGGCCCTGCAGCACCCCTATATCAACGTGTGGTACGATCCCACTGAGGTGGAAGGGGTAAGTGATAAAATGCAGCATGGGTTGAACCATGAACATGGGGGGGGTGGGGGCACTGTGTTCCTTTTCGCGACACCCCTTACACTCTCACTTTCTGAGGGCTGTCCGTAGCTTCCAGTCTCACCCTTGTTCCTCTGCCCCTCCCATAGCCCCCGCCGCTGATCACAGACAAGCAGCTGGACGAGCGGGAGCACACAGTGGATGAATGGAAAGGTAGCGTGACCCCGGCCGGCCAATGGCACGCCGCATGTAACTCGAGGCTGGGCCTGTGTGCGCGATGGACATGTCTCCGTATCGCTTACGCCCAGTGAGCCAGATGAGCTCATCCCGTAGGCCTATACCGTGATAATGACTGCTGACTTTTTTAGAGCTTAAATTAGAAGGATGAATATTGCTTATTCTCACGTGACAAATGTCACGGCGCACCCGAAGGCTCCAATACCATCCACATCATCCGCTTCTCACTCTGCTTCTCACCGCTTTTCCTTACTCCTTCTGTCTCATTTTAGAGCTCATATACAAGGAGGTCCTGGAGTGGGAGGAGAGGACGAAAAATGGGGTGATCCGTGGCCAGCCAGCTTCCCTAGGTTAGTTACAAAGGGGGCTGTTCCCTGTTTGTCAGTGTGTGACAGATGGTGCCTCTGTGTGTGTGTATAGACTCTTCCGGTTGTATTGACGCTGAATGGTGATAACATGGATGCTGGAACTTGAAAGCATGGCTGTTTGTTCTCGGAATCTGTGTGTATGTGTGTGTGCGTATGAATAATGTAGCAGGGCACAGCTGATTCCCATGCTGTTATCGGGCGCTTAAGATCTCCCCCCCCCCCCACAAAAGGGCTGGCTAATGGGACTCCTTCCTCAGGCCCCCATGGCTCCTCCGGCCCCCAGGCCGTTATCACTCAGTCACAGCCAATCAAGTACGCCCTCTTACGGCTTATGGCTCCCAGAGGCTCATTAATATTGATGTTTTCAGGGGATGGATCTGCACAAACACACTCAGTCAAAAGGTTTTTAAAATGTCATTCATATAATTATAACTGCCTGCATATGTGCAGACGTGACGATGAGTGGGCTCTGTATCATTGTGCATTTCAGAAACTTAGATGTTGTGGAAGAGGAATGTTCTGGTACAAATTCAGTCCTTTTTCTTATTACTGGGCCAAGTGCTTTCCTGCCTGGTGGGGGTGATGTGGGGCAGTGGGGTGGATGGTGTCCCACACTGGGTCAGTCTTCTGATGGTAATGCTCTGCTTCTCATAGCACAGGTGCAGCCGTGATGGGCGGCTCCCAGAACCCATCCTCGTGCTCCTCCGTCAACGACGTGTCCTCCATGTCCACCGACCCCACCATGGCCTCTGACACGGACAGCAGCCTGGAGACCTCAGCTGGCACGCTGGGCTGCTGCAGATGACCTCCTGACCTGCATCTCCCTGTTCCCTTGGCCAGTCTCTAGGATGCTTTGGCTTCTTTTTGGGGTTTTTTGACTGTAAATAATCATGGCACGTATTTTATCCCCTAGCAGGAATTTGAGAACATATATATATTAAAAAAAAAAAAACACTAAAGTGTCTGCTTAATTTTAACTATGATCAATTAGTACTTCTTTTTAAGCTACAGCAATACCATTTTGCCATATGATTGCAGAATGATCAGTTTAGTACAGTGTTTCCCGACTCAATCATCAGGGACCCACAGATGGTCCATGTTTTTGCTCCCTTTCGGCTCCCTGCCAGAAAGTCCACATTTTTGCAAAAACACGGACTGTCTGCGGGTCCCTAAGGATCTGATTGGGAAACACTGGTTTAGGTTTTATGGTGGAAATGTTTTGAAACTTTTCTTTTCTTTGCTGTGACCTGTCTCCTTTCCAGCCTGAGTGATTTTTGCTTTTCCTTAAAAGGCTGTAAAAACGGTCTTCCGGGCTCCTTCTCAGCCAGTGGATTTTCAAAGGCACGGTCCACTTTGCATTTTTGAAGCATCCAGCATGGGACTGTCTAATTAGCCTACTTTGTATGACGCTTTCAGTTTAAGACGCAGCATTTTGATACATTTTTTGTTATAGATCATCTCTGAGGAACCTTTGCTGCCTCATCCTTTTCTGCACAGTGTGCTCATCCAGTAGGATTTGGTGATAGTTCTTGACAGCTGTAAGTTTTGCAGGTAACCAGGGAGAAGTGTTACAGTAACATCAAAGATGTATTGGGGTTAGGGTTGTGCTTCCCACGTCTCTGCGCTGTTTGGCTCCATACGGACGAGTGTCACTGTGGCAAGCTGTATAGCTGGGAGTTGCTGGTGGCAGCCACCTGTAAATAAACTTCAGGTGTAACAGAGGGTGACGACGGTTGCTGGTTCGTTAGCTATTGCGTTGCCTGGTAACAGGCCAGATCGTAGGTTTGGATCCTGAGGTTCCAGTGTTTTGCGTGGGAGTCTGGCAAAGAAATCCTGTTAGCTGGTTTTATAACAGTATCATGGTGGCTCAAGTATGTATTAAAGTAGCGTTTTAACTGAGTTTCAGTACAGTTATGTGTCACTTTTAGTGCTTTATTTGATTCATTTAATGAAACACTGGACCTGTGAGTGGTTGCAGCTTCACTTCTGCGCTCTTTGCGTGTTGATTTGCTTTACGGCGAACAAAAAGCTCCGGACTGGAGGAGCTGAAGCTGTACGATATGAGAAGCCAACGCAGTAACGGCATCCTTTCAAAGTGGCTTGTTTTACTTACTAAAGGGAAAAGTGCCTGCAGCTGCTGCACGTTCATTCCTGAATGACTAGGAGACAAGAATTTGCTTTGTGAGAATTTGTGTCTGAATTTGTGAATGGCTGTTTTATTTTCCCGCTATTCCCTCACATTTTAGGGCGGCTAGTACAAATCTATTTTTTTACTGCTTCGACGAACCCAAAGGTTGGGAAAGGTAATCTGAGAAAGGGACACTTCAAAATGTCATGGAGCATTTTTAAAAGTTATTTTTAAGATACCATGGGCAGTTTGGTCAGGTTTTTCATCAAAGTAATTTTCTTTTTGAAGTATGACGACTTTTCTCAAATCCCCTGATACATGTCAGATTGTGTTGTGTTAAAGCTGTGTTGGACGGCTGAGGGAGAACCGATTGGAGCAGATCTGTGTGTCAGAGCACAATATCGTACACGTTTGGCATGTGTGTCTGGTCTGTGACCCGGGGTACCTCTGAAAAGGGTGGACTCCTCACGGATTTTGTGTTTAAGTGCTCTTATTTTCGTGACTGATTTGGAGCCCCCTTCTGGTGCAGTCAGAGCTCTGCCTCCCCACTGCATTAGGGGGTGTTGGATCACATTTAAAAATAGACTTTGATGAACTACCTCACACTAAATTACTCTGAGTCCCTGCATAAACTCAGCTGCCCACATTCGCTAGAGAAAACAAATGTGAAATAAAGGATTTCGTTATTTATTTATTTGAAATTGTACAATTGTCAATATTAGGATACTTCTGCTATTGTACATTGTGTACTTCACTGATGAGTACAAAAACTTCATGTATTTTTTTTTTTGTTTGTTTTTCTACTGTTCATGTGCAATACCCTCTACGTACTTATGTGTGTAGCATGTGGTGGACTTTGCCATGTATATGTCGAAAATGTTTGGTACTGTCAATCCACATTGTTTTTTTTTTTTTGTTTTTTTTTAATAAACTAAACTGATTTTCTATGGCTGGGCACCATTGTTGTGCTATAACCAGCTTTGTCTCCTCCGCGTCTGCCCAGGTGGGACTGGCTACATGTGCGACCATATTGAGCAAAGGCACAGGAACATGCTGGTCTGTAATGTATGTTAATCAGGGCAGCCATGCAACTCGACAGGAGAGCGTGGTCCTGGGTTTCTCTATCGCACATTGGGGGGGGGGTGGTGAGAGTGGGCACTACTGTCAGTGTGTCCACTGGAGTCTAATTATGCCAACTTTAACTTTAAAACAATAAACTGGGAAACTGACATCATGTGTCTGTCTTAGCCCTCCATCTGTCTGTGACATTGTGAACATGAGCATCGGAGGAAATGCAGTTGGCCACAGACGGTTTTGTACGCTTGTGGGTTGTGTTCATGTGTATAGTGTCATTTTTCTCTGTACGCAAATCATTTTATTTTGGGGAAAATGTGAAAAAATTTTCCAGCTAAAAATATAGTAAGCATGACGACAAATTTAGTTGTCACATGACAGTAAAGGCATTTATTCCTTAATTTAGAACGATTTGAAATAGTGTGTCAGGTTTTGTTAACCATACAAATAAACGGACAAATAATACAAAGAAAACTGGCACCTACATGAGCGATTGCATTGTTCTGGCATGATAATGGGATGCTTTGAATACGCCTAAACAAGTACATCAGGCTGTTTCTATCTCAAGTGATATTGTTTAACCTACAAGACATGTGCTTGCCATTTAAGAGTGTTGGCTCAGAGTTTAGACTTTGCAAAATGAGATTTGTGGGCCGCTTAGATTCCTGGACTGCCCGTACTTTAAGAATCATGTCAGGAAGCACTTTTAACAGCCAGCTAGCTGTGATGTGTGACCTCTGACTGTCTTCTGTAGGAGGGCTAATATGGGGGTCATTTAATTAACTCTTCATTAACAAAAGCAGAGTACTGTGTAGGTGTGTTTGAGTGACAGCTGGCAGAGAGAGCTCTGTCATGAAAAACTACGAGATCTTCATTTCATTATCTTGGTACCTGGGTTTGAATCGCATGGCTTTTCTGAGTGGGCCAAGGTGAACTGTAAATGAATGTCCATTCTGTTCAGACTGTTTCCTGTCCCGTGCAGTGACCCTAAAAGGCACATTGAGGGTGTGGTTAATTGAGATCTCTGCCAGCTTCCACCGTTTAACGAATCCCCAACAGAACGAACAACAGCAGTTATGGTGTGGCTCTCCCAGGGCAGTTCGAAGAAGCCGTCTTACACTTTGAATGCGAGTAGATGGTTTACCAAACCATGGCTGCATCTGCAAGCACCCTGCTCTGACTCTACATTTTTCCGGCCTTTGCCTGCAGAGTCAGATCTCCCAGTGTGGAGAAGAATTCCTCCATCTCCTTCTGCAGGAGGCGGTTGCGCGTCTCCGCATCCTCGTGGGCACGCTCTGCATTCCGCAACTTGATCTCCAGCATCTGGTGCTTCTTGCGCTCCTGGTCCAACTCCTCCTGCAGCTTCTCCACCTGGGTGCCCAGGGCAGTGACGGAGGCCTCCAGCCTGCAAACACAGCCCACCAGTAACCAATGGCTAGTGGCTCCTGCCCCTTAATGTTGTGGAGGGTTAATAGCAAGCCATTTTAAGGTGATAACATGATCCATTATGTGTTCCATACAGTGCTCTCCATGTTTGGGGCAATGACAAAATTTTTTTTTCATTTGAGTCTGAGTACTCCACAGTTTTAGATTTGTGGAGGGCACTGTATTTGCAGATGTGGATGATGCCACAGAGAAGACCTCCTTAATAAATAATAATAAAATAATAACATTAATTTATCCCATCATTCTTTTCTGAAAATGGGTAACTCCTAACTGGACCTGATATACAGATGCTCCTGGAATGATGGGACTGGAGCTGGCATTGGGAAAAAAACTACGGGGAACAGAATTGGAGTTGAATTTGAATTTCAGGGAGATTTAAGTTCCAACTCCAGTTCCATTTCCTGATTTGGACTGGAATTGATCAATGCATTGCGGAATGGCCCCAACCCTGGTCTGTATATTATGAATCTCAGAGCAGCCTGCCTTCGTTTCCTTTGCCTGACATGAAGTCTCCCTGACCTTAATTTGTGTTGGGGCCTGAAAGTGGCACACAGACCGCTCCCCATGCACACCTACTTCCTGATTCTGCTGCCATAGGCCACCCTCTGCTGCCTCAGTTCCTCCTTCAGCTCTGTCACTTTGCTCATCAGTGTCTGTGAGTTGCTATTGGGCTCCGCAGGCCTGGCGCCCTCGCTGCCGCCCTCGGTGCTGCAGATGCTCTCGGTAGAGGGACCCACGTCCCTGCAGCCATCCCCCGATTCCATTGGAACCTTCTCAGCCTGTCCTGGCAGCCCTTTCCCCGGCCCTACGTTGCTTTCCAAGTCAGGGTTGAATGATCGTTTTTGGCTGGGCTTGGATGCAGAATGGACATTCCAGGCCTCAGTAGCGACACTTGGCACGCTCAAGCTGCTGGGGGCCACATTGTCATAGGTAGACAGCCTGTGCAACGGCCCCAGATCCTTCATGTACCCCCCCGATGACGTGCGCTGGTGGCCTCGCCGCAACGGTAGTCCATTCATCAACCAGCTGCTACCTGACAGACTGGGGATATCTACAGAAGAGCCTCCCAGCTTCCCATGGGCCCGAAAGGGGCACTTAAAGGCGGGCAGAGACTTGGCCTGCTTGCTGGGGCTGATGCTAGCCTCTGCCTTCCCCTGAGGTGCCTGTATACATGATACGGTCGTGCTGGCATCCAGACAGGGGGCGCTGCTGCACAAGTCCTCTGTTGGGCAGGCAATCCTGCTTGTGGAAGAGAATTCCTCATCGGAGATCCAGCCCACCATGCCACGCTGGCTGTTGAGCGTGGTCTCCCTTGGATCAATAGGGGGCTCCACGTGGGCCACCGCAAACAGCCGATCGTGTTCTCTGATCAATACAGTCATCAGGTGCTGCACCTGGGAAGTGCCTGAAGGGGAAAAGCTGCATCAACACAGACTGTCCCTCACCACCTATCCATGTTCAGCCCAGAACCATATGTTACAGGTACATACAAAATTAATTGTTCAGCCTATCCACTACCAAAACATACTTTCCATTATCGTCACAGGGTCCTCCATTTTAGGCCTTAGAATATTGGGTCCAAACACTGTTGCCAGGTTCTGAACACTCATTTTATTTTCACTTGAATGTGACTGAACTTCATCGAGGAACCTGGAAAGAAAGTTATGCCACAGAAGTTAAATCAGTTCGTAATTACGCAGATTGACACAGCCGTGAAATAACCCAGCTTCAACACCAGGGGGAACTGCGCCGGTGGAACTTTTAAAGACGATTTAAAGGTCATGTCTAGATGCCTAGATGACAGCTCCCAGTTCAATTGTCGTTGAGGAAGTGCCAACTTTTTACAGAATTGCGAGTTTTTAAATGCCTTTAAACTTTAACTGCACCTAAGGCAACACTCATTTTCATACTGTTTCATAACTTTCACAGAATAAAGTTAAGCATTTTACTATATCAGTAAAGGGATAATACATTTACAATCACATCAAACCACCCTGCGCTACGCTCTGGGCAACTCCTCTAACTGTACAAATGTCTATGTATTATAGGGAATGTATTTTAATTACGGGGGCTTTTAACATACACGTACCTGGTCATATAAGGGTTAACCTCCCCCAGAGTGTCCTTGCTGTGGTAATCTTAAACTGCTTTAGTAATATATTCTGTATAAAACCAATGAAATTACCATTACTGGATCGATTGTGTGAGCTGAGTTGTCTGAATGTAAACTTGCCATTGCGGAGGCATTGCAAAGCAGCAGATTTGTAAGGGTTCCTAGTTGGTTACTAACACATTAAATTTTAGCTGGTCTTATTTGTAATGTAGTGATTAAATAGACAGGGGATCATTCTTTAAGTTTTAATCCAGCAGGTGAGCTTGCTGTGTTATTGTACCCGCTTGCTAAATTTAATAATGTAAGCTTTTAATGAAGGCCAGCTCTGTCAAGAAAGAGACAGAAAGGCTCTTGAGATGCCCAGATATTAAAGTACATCAGATACCTACCAGTTAGGGATTGTAAATGTAATTTGACTTTTTCTTTTATCTTTGTTGGTTGTGCACATGTGATTTATATTTGTTATCTTTATTATACAGACTTTAATGTTGTCAGGGTAAAAAGCTGTGACGTCTGAGGCTGTGATTAGCACCCTCTGATCTTTAAGTACCTTCAAATATGCAATGTCATGTGACTTACTTCTGAATAACAGAATGACAGTAACGGGTACAAAATGCTGATTGGTGTCAGAATTGAAACTCATAAGCTGGTTACCTTGTGCTTTGCGGGGACTGAAAAACTCTGCTTTGATGTTTATTACAGGACTGGGAAATGAGGTTACCTGCAGATGTATTTCAGGAGGTTGAAATTGACTTGGGGCAGGGTCTTCACCTGCTTTGCTAGCTCCTGTATCCCCTTGAAGGAAAGACAAAAATGATATTTTCAATGAGGATCTCCTTCCTGTAGGTCATGGCAGAAAGTGTAGCTTTTGTTTGGCAGGATATTATTTCACAACGGACCACCTTGCTAGCCACTTACATGTTCAGGTTTACGTCAGATTTATTTCTGTTCTTATTTTTCTCTGCCTACATAAGAATCCATGGCTAGAAATTCTGGGCCCCCTGCTTGGGTTGGCATTTTGGGTTGGTTCAATGGTAAACAGAATCTGCCAGGGGGGGAGGGGTGTAGTTGATTTTTCAGAGTGGGGGCTGTATTAAATGCTCCCCATATATGCCATAATACCCATGCTCCTCTGATGGGAACACTACAAACCTGACTCTTTGCTTCCTGGCTATATAGATACAACCCAGATGTCCTGCTTACAGTCCCCAGACTGGTGATACACACTGATTGTACACAGTCCGGGCTTTTCAATCTTGGTTGTGTCCGCTACATGCCCTGTTCTGCTCTGTCAGAGTCAGACACTAGAAAGAAATTGACAGGCAGACCTCCCCCCCCCAAGAACATGAAGATTACAAAGTTTGGAGATGCACATGCACAGAACCCTACTCACCATCTCCTCGTCTTTGGCCAGCATCTGAGCGCACGTGAGGAAGTCCTCGTATTTGGCGAAGGGGACTACAGGCTCAGGCAGCTCTCGCAGATATAGCTTTAGCAGAGATGCCACTGTGTGGACATCAGTGTTTCTGCAAGAACAGTTAAAAGCCGACAGAGTTCGAGCAAAGATACCAAATTGTGTGTTTCATGTTATTCTGGTGAGTACTGGTGCATCTAATTGTAATATTTGGCCTGTTAAGTACCCTGGGTAATAAATGCATACTTAATTTGCAAATAAAGTAGCCCTTGTGTGGACAGGATTCTGAAGGCCTTTGGAGTCAATGACAATGGTGCAGTTGTGTCAGATGGTCTGTGAACCTGTCAAAGTGGGGCTTGTCCCCGCAGTGGAACGAATCCTGCAGCTCCTTCACCAGATTGGCCTGGCCGGGCATGCGGAACAGCCCCTCCTCCCTCAGGCCGTGCTCCAGGATGAAGTCCACACACTGCTCCACCAGCAGAGGGGCCTGCCGCGGCCCAAAACGTCTCTCGTACAGCACTGTGTCCTCCAGCTGCTGGCCGAAGATTCCTGTGGAGACACATGTGCTTCAGGGTCTCACATGAAGGAGAACTTGAAACGAGTAGGACCCAGACCCCATTTGACCAGTTATTTTAACCTGAGTAGGACCTCCTCTTATACTAGTTATTTTTATCTAAGTAGGATCAAGACCCCCTTTTAACCAGTTATTTTTACTCTCTGGGTTTGAGATCTACACTGGAGGTCACACCCATTATCAGCTAGTGTCCCATATAGTGTGCAATGCATGATGTGTTTGTGTGTCATAATACACAATGTGTGCGTGTGCCTGTTGGGGTGGTTATACCTCCTCCAAAGGGGGCCCAGATGGCACGGCGGATGGCCTTCACCCAGTCCTCCATGTCAGTGTGAGAGATGGCCATGAGCAGCAAGGCCTCGTCGGTAGCTCCGCCTGCAGCACAGACCACATACATTTAGCAGCCTGCCCCGCTAACAGCACAGACCACATGTGATTTTCCGCCTGCCCCGCTAACAGCACAGACCACATGTGATTTTCCGCCTGCCCCGCTAACAGCACAGACCACATACGGTTTGCCTCCTGCCCCGCTAACAGCACAGACCACATACGGTTTGTCTCCTGCCCCGCTAACAGCACAGACCACATACGTTTAGTAGCCTGCCCTGCTAACAGCACAGGCTACGTATACATTTGCTGCCTGCTGCGATAACAGCACAGACCACATACGGTTAGTCACCTGTCCCGCTAACAGCACAGACCACATACGTTTAGCAGCCTGCCCTGGTAACATTCTTATGTTTATATGTATGTTTTAGCAGTTTAGAATAAAACATCCTGGTAACATTTGACCCAGCTCTCTGTAGACAGTTGAATTTCAGGTTCCTACATGTCATATTTGTAGTTAAAGTTCTTACAGATTAATAGGTTGGTAAGAGAGTGGCTGAGTGCATGCAGACCCTTTAGCAGTGCAGTATAAATTAATGCTATGCTGATATTTTGGGAGGGAAACCCATCTCTTTGGCAGGCTGCTTATCTTCTCTGCTTGCTTAGCACAAAGCTCTCTCTTCTAATGTAATAAGTACAAAATGGCATCACTGGCATTCCTTCCTTCCTTCATTAAACCCCTTTATCGTATTGATGGACTTCTGATTGGCTATTGGTTGAGCCACTGCAGACTTGGGGCTTTATCAAACTTTGCAGTCATTGGCTTAGTCAGCAGTGATATGGATGCAATGGACAGGCAGAGTGGCCACTCTGAGACTGGGGGGGTGTCCGCCTTCATTGTACAAATGGCATAGATTTAGTAATCTTCAGCAACTGGTCAGTGTGCAATGACGAGGCGAAACAGCGCACTGATGCCTGCACCTGCAGTTTGCAGAAACCCTTACGCTAGCTGTAAATGGAAGAATGTACATTATGGGGGTCTCTGAGCCAACCCTAACCCTTTAGTTAATTGGCCTTTTCACTAGCTCTTTGGTAAACTGCATAGCATGTCACATAATCAACTGCTGTATTAGGGCAGTGTTTCCCACCCATCGTCTGGGACTCCCAGACCGTCTGACAGGGAGCTGGGAGGGAGCAAAAACATGGACTGTCTTGAGGTCCTTGAGGACCGGATTGAGAAATAATCTATTAGCAGATGGTCAACATTACAAGAAATGCTTGAACTGGGAAGAGAGGTCAATAGCAGCTGTGACATTTCATCAGACGACAGTCTCTCCATCACGTGTTTTCATCCTTGTTAAATGCATAGTAGATTGAAGTGCTCCAGAGAGTGATTAATTATTACTTTTAAAGGTTTTTTTGTCAGTCTTTTCCAGTGTCGAGTCCAGAAGAAAATCACTAAGGGTGTATCTGAAATGAGTGAGCAGGCACGATACCTGCCACAACATGGCAGTCATCCACTGATTGACTTCCTACCCTATTAATTTGAGGGTGCTATGATCATACAGAGAGCAATTCTGCTGACCAGTGTTGCTCAGGCACTTTCCCATTGATATTAGGCAACAAATTTCTATTTGAAAAATTAGAATCGGCAGTGGGCAACTATTCGCAATCATCCAGATCCATATGAGTTGCCCTTTGCCTCACCCAGTTGCTGGCAACATTGCTCAAAAATTTGCCGTGTTTCATCACCTTCAGACACCATTGTTATCGCAGGTCTGGTCTATTCTTATGCCTAGAGGTGATGGTAGACTGTTCCATGTTTCTCAGTACTGTGGTCATGTTTTAAATACATTGATTGGCGTAGCTGTCCTTTTGGTACACATGAGGAATATTTTTGTAAATACTTCCGAATTCCTCAGGATTCCCGGTAACAGAAGGCTGGAGTTGATCTTGTAAAAGCAGGTACTGCAGTCGATTAGCACTCCAAAGGCCACAGGTTCGAGTTCCTGCTTCTGTCCCCTTATTTGGCTGTAGAACTGGACATTCACTTGGAATAAAAATAATATTATATATATATATATATATCATAATAGATATGCATCTGTCTGATATGCACCTTGTAGGCCTGTGAGAGCTAAGTAGAAGAACGTCTAGGATTACTTCAAGCTTATGGATCTGTGTGTTATCAGGGCTCTTTTCTTCCTGGCTTTGCTGCAGGCACCTTGGCGCACAATGCCGGGTTTTGGGGGATGTCCAATGTCCATTTAGCATTGTTTATTAGGCCCCATCTCGCAGATTTTTATGGGAAGGAGACTAATTGAATGCTTCGATCGTCTTAGTGCTCTAAAAAATTTAAATCCAGGAATTCTCAAGGTTTGGGTCCAAGGAGACACTCCGAGTGAAATGAATGACCTCTGTGATCGCAGTGGCCAGTGCCTCCAGTCGTTATTTTGTCCTTTTATAGAGTAAAGGATGCTGACTGGAGCATCGTGTCATTCGGTGTTTAATGGTACTTAGCAGGTGCCCCTGTGTGGGCTGCTTGAGAGAAGCGAAGGCTTCAGCTCCCCACCCTTTCTGACCTGGATTGTTTTAATATATGTCCAGCCATTGACATTAAAAGCCATGTTTTTATGCTCCAGTGAGCCAAGTCTCATTTCTGTTTGTATGATGAAATGGATACTGAGACTTGGCCTGGATTCTTTTTACCTTCTTTTACAAATGGAGATAATTTGTAACATGTTTCACTGTGGAGCTGAGCAGCGTAGGAACGTGCAAGTAAAGCTTGCAGAATGTGCTTTAAGGCAGCTGGAAATGCACAGCTGTTAGACCGGCTTACCTGGAATGATCTCAAATAGGTGGCGGCCTGGTTCCTCAGGATTGGCTGAGAGCTCTGTCACATGACTGCCCTGGAGCTGAATGCTGCCCTGTGGAAAGGAAGTAGTGAAGGTGATAAAATGTGTGGGACAGTAGTACAGCATGAACTCCACATGCTTCTGTGTGACAGATCTAAGGGAATCTTCATTGGCGATCTCAGATGCACTGTGCTTCTTTTGTGAAAGTGCAACAATACTTCTAATAGACAAAAGTAGCACCAACATAGCAAAATACATCATTAGTGCCCTCTGTGGTTGTATGTGTGAAGTGCTTTTAATGCTATTATGGAGGGGCTGGGCTGCTCCGTTGTGCTGCCTTGTTTGCATGCTGTACGCGTCTCTTGGCTCAGCTGTCAAGAGCTCATAAAGCTGAGAGTCCGGCTCCACCTAGCAAACCAGCCATCTGCTCATCCAGGCAAACCTACACTCAGAAGCTACCGGGGGAGCTGAAGCCTGGGGGGAAGTGGGCCGGCTGGGCAGCCATGACACCCCAGGTCCCGGCAACATTAGCTGTAATGGGCAAAACGTATCAGGAATTGCTGAGTCCTGTGCCGGAATGGCTTTGATGCAAAGCACACTGAGCAGATGTTCTGGGAATGCTGATTAGAAAGGCAGCTCCACCGTGCCCTGAATGTCCACTGCCAGCCCCAGGGCTGGGAGACTTCATATTTATTTATATGCAGCTCAGGGGTGTGGTCAGTGCTGCTTCATTAGCTATGTGAGCAGTCTTATACACACCCCTTCCCCCATATTTCACCATGGCAACAGGGTACTTGTATAGTGCAGACCCTGAGAGGGCCCTGGAGGAAGGTGAGGCTTTGGCACATCTTTTCTGAGGATCTCTGAGGGACTTTACATGTTGTTTAGACCAGAGGTGGAAAGTTCGGGTCGTGAAAGTACAAATCCAGACCAAGATTTTGTTCCAACCAACCAGTTGAGCATAATGAGTCACAGTCACAGAAAACTCAACTGGTTGGTTGGAACAAAATCTTGGTCTGGATTTGTAATTTCTGGACCCAAACTTTCCACCTCTAGTTTAGCCTCGCTGCTCTGCAGATGGCCCAGATACGTAGATAGATATACTTTAATACTCCCACTCGGGAATTTGTATGAGGAAGTGCCAGCATTCAGGTTTTCTGGGGCAGGAGTATTAAATATTGCCCGTGCTTCCTGCCATTGATAATCTATCTGCCTTGAATATCACCAGTGGCTGTTTTCCCCCACAGAGGTCAGGACACGGGGAATGCTAGAAGCTCACCTGCGGTTTGGTCTCCTCCTCATTCTTGTAGAAGCAGAGTCGGTCGGGCCATAACACGAACCAGCGGGGCTGCCAGTTCTTCATGATGCTGCGCTGCTTCTTGAGCCAGCCGGCCTTCAGAACCCTCTCCTGGAGGCTGGCGGGGCCGCGGGACATCTCCCCCATCACCATGCTCTTGGACCTGGCTGGAGACACACACACACACCACGACCTCAGTCTGCATCCCGCAAAGGCATTTGGCTGCCATGACAGGTAGGCGTGCCTTCCCTGCATCACTCTGCTCTACAGCCCATATTCAGGAATCCATTATTCTGTGCACCATGGCAGAAATACTCAAAATTCTCCTTTTAGATTTCAGTTTACCCATCCATTTTCAGTTTAAGGCCGTCCTGCCTATCAGGCCCCCTTAAAAAACTACATGCTCAGCTTGTGCTTTTAAGACTCCAGGCGTGTAAAAAGCGAGAGCGTACAGCGCTACAAAAGATGTCCCAAACAGAGCTTCTTCAGGGCACCAAAAGTCCTGCCAGGGATGAGCTATCAGACAGCATCACTCAGAACATTCGATAGCTGTTATGTCTAAGGACACAGAAGGAGACCTGTGATGGCTTTCCTGTTCCCCGTGCTCATGGCAGGTGAAGGCCTCTCTCCGGGGCTTCTCAGTTGTCCTTCTTTATTGCAGAGTCACGATTACCACTTATTCAGCCTGTGATGAACTGCCACCCTGACTGTTTACTATCTGAGATGAAATGTGGCGTGACTCAAAAGGTGCGGGTCTGACCAGCATTTATGCGGGAAAAATGAAGCATGAGCAGCCTGGTTACCCAGAAAAGCTGAGCGATTAATATACGTCAGTGAGATCGCTCACACGGGTGTTGATTGCATGGAGGACTTGTAGCTATTATCAGCCACGTCAAGCCATTTCTGTAATGCACAGCATTCAGGGGCTGTCAGGACTGTACACAGCAGGTGCCTGCTTTGGTGACCTGACGCTCCATGCACAGCTCAACGGTTTTCCGTTTTAGAGAAAAGATTTTGTTGTCGATGTTGAGAGTGAAAGAGGAACGTGAATAAAATGTGTGCGCAGCTCCCGCTGCTTCTAGAAGCATCTATGGTGGAAGAGAAGAATAAGCCTTTTGACATTTGCTGATGCCAGCTTAAAGTTGCAGAAAAATCTGCTTTTGCCACAAAGTCTACACCCTGTACTCAACTGCATAACTGAAGTCCACATTGATAAAGACCAGTCTGTCCGAGCTGGCTTCATGCAGTCCAGTGCACAGCACAGCAATTTCAGGGAGGCCAGCAGCTTTTTCCCTTGTCCTCTGGATGCAGCCGTCACTTTCTGGTCCAGCCTCTACATTTCATACATTTCATCTCTACAAACACTTCTTTAATACATATTCCCACATTTGTACACAGCTCAGAGCCAACAATGCAGAAAACAGAATCCTGTCTTTGCAGCTGTAATGCAGTGTAGAGATTTGCTCTAAACTCAGACTCACATTGTGCCACTGCAATATTCTCAGCCAGGCAGAATCACAATGCCAGTCAAGGGTTTCAGGTAGGACACCTCTGTTAGGGCTGGTTAGCGGTTTTGCTAAAGCAATGATCTTTCTCTCCAGGACAGGTTTTTGGGGTGAGACCCTCTGTGAGAGACCCACCCACTGACACACCCATCTGTGTGCCTCTGATGGAAACGTGGATTACGGCACATGGATTTCATATTCTTACTAGCCCTGTTCTGGGGAAAAATGGTGTGGCAGGTATGGAATTTCAATTAAAATGCAAGTCCATATTCATCAGTATAATCTGCCAGAAGTCCATTAAAACAGAAAATAATCCTTTCAATAGGTAGAACTAGGGATCATAGACAGTAAGACTGCCCTCCCTTGGCACTGAGGTATTGATGAGACCTTAGACACATGCATCATGCAGGGGTGTCTCGCAAAGAAGTCACGCACCGCAATATGAATGATTCAGGATGACACGTGGAATCGCATGCAGACTGCTGTCACACTGCAAATATCATGCGTATGCAGTGGATGATGCCTGAAGCGACGTTGAGAGTGCCGGCAGCCCCCGGCCCCCGGGGGGGTGACCTCTCTGAGCGCTTACCTCTCCGGGTCTGCCTGATCCGGGGGCTCAGCATCGCTCCCTCACAGTGCGGCCCCGCACGCCGCCATCCCGTCTCGCTGCCCTCCGCTCGTTCGCCGCTCTGCCTGTGCGCCGCCGGCCCAGCCCTGCAGGCCCCGCCTCCCCGGCCCCGCAGGCCCCCCCTCTGCTGCATTATTCATCTCCCCACAGCTGAGCCCCTGCGCTCTCAGGCAGGCATTCAATGCAGGGTGACCACCATCCATAACTCAGGGGAACGGAGCCACTTCTGCCTTCTCCCTCAGCTCTCCCCCCTCCCCCCCTTCTTAATTGACCCTGCATATCTGTGTCCCTGTGTGTGTCCTCTCCCTCCCTCTCTCCCATTCGTCTCTCTCTCTATCAAAGCAGCCATCGGCCCTTCCCTCCCTGGCCCCCTTCCTGTGTATCGCTAGTACAGCCACTGTATCAGCAATGTCAGCAGTCTGACTGGTCTGGAGCTGCATTCCATCCCTGCATCCATCCATCTATCCATCCTTTACCCGTTTATCCTGGTCAGGGTCACACAGGGTGGGGGGAGGGGGGATCTCTGGACTCTAGTAGCTTCATTTCATTCAACCTAATTATGCACTAGCTAATCATTTACTCGTCACTCTCGCTGTTCCCCACATCACATCCAATTAAAAAAAATGTTTATAGCAAATTCTTAGCTGTTTCCTAAAACATCATTAACACAATATTAGCGCATGTTTAGTGACCGGTGGCTGACGTTTAGTCGTGCTGCTGGTGCGCCGCTTAATGCTGATCACCAATGCTGTCACATGGTGGTAACAGGAGAAAGAATGACACTGAGCGTGAATAACGGCGTGAGAGCGGCGTGTGCTGGTACCTGGGGGGTTGTGCTGTCTCCCTCCCATCAGGCTCCTGGAACGGTTCATCACGCTGCTCGGTGCCTGTCCGGTGCATCAGAACATCAGGGGGTGCACGGAGGAAAGATGGAGTGAAACTGGTGAAAGGAAAAGCAGAAGTGTGTGCATGCTCTGGACCGGAGAGGGTCCAGTCTAAGGAATCGTGTGCGACGCCGCCACATGGACTGCCAGGCGCGCCGAGGCCGAAGGCAACCTCTCCGTTAAGCCAGTCCAGGGGCAGCGTGGCCACGCGTGTAGGCGCTGTGTCCCTTTCTCGGAAAACTTCCCCCGGTGGTGACGCCAAAATGACCGCTTCCCTTAGAGAAGCTGAACACAGAGGCCAGAGCCCATCCCAGATTTCAGACCAAGAAAATACCAGGAACTGAAAGGCGGCAACACAGAAGTGAAAACGGCCTGGCCTTCCCCAAACGGCCACTGGCCAATAGCTCACAGAAACACCAGTCCTAAATAAGAGATAATTCTGGGTACCCTTTTATTAAGAGACTTCTTAATAAATGACATCACATTGCTCTGAAAGTAAATGTCCCTTTGTAACAGAAGGGGTCTTGGCCATTTTGGTGGACTTACATGAGGCCGAACACACGCATCCACATGATGAGCTACGGTGACCACAGCCACAGAATAAACCGTGTATTACTGACTGGCCCCGAAGCCGTAGTCATGGTGTTACACGACTAGGCTGTGAGGTACAGTTTAATTCACTAATGGGAGTAATTAGATGGATGGTTGGCAGGCAGGCAGACGGCTGTGACAGTTTGTAAGGAGGGGAATGAACCAGACAGTGTGGAGGGGCTTAGCTTGCTGGCACCGGACCATCCCTGTCCCACAGGGACCAGTGCAGGAATACACCAGTGTAGATGGGGGCCATTCGGCAGGTCCAGTGCATGATGGTGGCGGGGTTGCGTAAGCTCACAAACAGATCACTGGCTGGGACGAAATCTCAACCATCAGCTGCCAGTAAAGATTTGGCAAGATCTGGCCTGATGCCACAGGATCTCCTCACAGCCGCGTTACTGGCTGCAGTTTGTGGCTGTGACTCGCCTTTAGAGGACCGTTTCCCAATCAGGTCCTCAGAGAGCTTGGAGGGAGCAAAAACATGGACCGACTGTGGGTCCCCAAGGACAAACAAACTGCAAAGACCCTAGGGCTATGTAAGGTTCAGACTTACAGCTTATTGGTCAGCTGTGACAAATGGTTGATCAGCCCATGGAGGTAATCGTGGAATTTCCACATTACTAAAATATTAAAAGGGAACACTCCGCATTTAATTATGAAATGGTTAAGTATGGTGAAATACAGCTGTACCATATGACAGACAGAATGCTGTTGCTTGTTAGTCAGACACTATTTTATTTCAAAGGTTTACAGTGGAAAAAACAGCACAGTCAAACTTAGCAGGTCGTTGTTTCATACACAAAATGCTTAAAATATTTTTGAAATATTTAAAATCACTAACAATTGTTAAAAAATAATATTTTTTTCCTAAAATAAACACTTTTTAATGACTTTCTTAAAAGAACACAATTTAATGCCGGGCAACTAAAATGTCAAAATGATACACTAGATGTAGGTAAAGTGTGTGTATGGGTTTGGGGAGCGTGGTCCGGTCCGTGTGTGTGGATGGATGGGCAGGTACCACCTGACTTGTGAAAAGTTTCATCCTAAATGTTCACCGAGGACAGGCGCCACTGATGCCTATGCAGCCGCCCGCTTATCAGGTAGGAGATGACCGATGCCCAGCGCTGCCTCGGTGGGCGCTGTGGGTGAGGTGGGTGTTTGAAATAAGTAGAGGTGCCCATGGAGAGGGTCTGGAACTGTTCCTTCAGCAGCCAGGTCTCCCACAGGCCAGTGAGGAAGTTCATGACTGACAGAGCCAGCACCCAGATTTCTGCGCCCGCCACGGTCCCCTCCGTGGCCAACGGTACATCGGTAAACCTACGCCAGAGGTAACGGGCAGCCGCAAGGAGGAAGAGTGTGTGAGCCACAGCCATAGCCAGGAGGAAGAGGACGAAGAGGCGCCGGTTGTCCCTGCCCACGCAGCGGTTGAGGAACAGGCAGTGGTGGTCATATTCCAGGATGCACATGCCACACAGCTTGCAGTGTTTGGAACCATCCGGCTGGAACATCTGTGACACAGGAGCCGCCAATGAGGAGCCTCGTGGGGATCCCAAAGAATTAGCACTGGCTCTTTGCATTTAAGCCAAATAGCTTCAAAAGTGCCACAATGACAGGGACTCGCTACGCTAATCAGTTGCACTTGGGTAGCACTGACTCATGGGAGTTTTATTTATACAAAAATGTTCTGAGGGCAGAATGAAAAATGATTGGTTCAGAGGGATAATCAGATTGTAGAGGTGGTGGATCCAAGCAAATAGACGAGGCGGGACCAAGACATCTGATTGGTTGGTCCTGTCTCCTCTAATTGCCTGGACTTTGAATGGTTGTATCTCTGAACCAATCATTTTAGTTCTGCCCTCAGAACATTTTTGTATAAATAAAACTCCATGAGCATGGCGCTGCTGGCTCTCAGCCATCCGAGGAAGGTCTGCTGCGACACCCGCGCCTGCATTGCCCCCCGTACCTCACAGTAGATGCAGAACCTGCTCAGGCTTTCATTGGTCTCCACCAGGTCGGTCACCCTGGAGAACCGGGGATCGGCCTCTGCCTGCCGCACGTGGCCAGGGTCCTTGATGAGGAGTCTGTGAAAAAGCCACAGCACAGCTGAGAACTGGACGATGGACGTGTGGAGGAGCAGATCCGAAGAGCTGATGCGTGGGATGTCGTCAAGGAACCATGTGACTCAAGAAGGCAAGAGAGCGGGTAAATGAGGGCCGTTATGACAAAGGATATTAGGCCTGATCTTTCCAAAGAAGCAGAGCAGTGAGTGGAACATACCAGCTGCCAGAGTACCCAGGTAGACAGGGTTAGGAGACCTGGAATAGACCAGAAACAGACTCAACAGCAGCACCAGCGTGTTTCTGCCCTTTTGCGTCAGTCGGCTCAGCAGAAGGCAGGTTTTCCAGAGAATGGGGTCACAGTTGCCCCTGCCATCCAGAACTACAAGATGGCGAACAGGGCCCTAGGCTGAACAGGCAGCTTAAATCCACATACATTTTCATCAGCATTGCTCATATGAGCATGGACTTAGTGTAACTCACCTCTGGTAGCTGCTCATCCTGTGATACTGGGTGAAGATGCACTTAGCCAGCCAGGGGAAGAGCAAAACACAGACAAGACCCCCATAGACTCCAAGTGCTACAGCTACCAGGAAGATGGCACCTCCACCAAGAGTGGGGAACAGCAGTGCCCAGTAGTACATGCCTGAACACAGGAGATGACAACAGGCTTACTGGACAGTAGCTCATGTGCTCATCGTTGATAGGGTGCTGCAGACATGAGGCACTCATGCATGACATGAAGGACAAGCTGGAGAAACTGCCGTGAAGTGAAACAGTACGCCACTTTAAGTAGGTGTATTCTGCCCTCTTGTGTTAATCAGAAGGTACCGCAGATGTCAAAATGTTTCTTTTTCTTAGAGTATTTCAAAGGCTCCCCTAACGCAGTTTTTCCATTTTTAAACTGAAAGACAAAATCAACATTTTAAACAGGTAGTTACCACGCGACTCCTTGGGTTTGTGATTTGGGGGCTTGTTGATTAACTTCGTAAAAAGTTCAGTGAGCTGCTGGTGTCTGCGGCGAAACAGAAGAACACAACATTGTACAGTGGGCATCAACACAGCACGTGTGGGCATGCTCACCACCTGCGTTGTGTGGGATGTGCTGGCGTACGTACCTGAAGGTGTCTCCCCGTCTGCTCAGGTCCACAGGAGTCAGCCGGTTGTTGTCCTGCAGGTGTAACACATGCAGTCCGGCTTCCTGCAAAAGCAGCCAGCTCACTTCAATGGCCCCCCTCTCCGCAGCCACGTGCAGCGCCGTCGCCCCCTGGTGGTCGGCAGCGTCCACAGCACACCGCTACCCACAAATCACAGAACGGAGATATTTACTGCTGTACGCATAGCATTACAGTCTCGGGGCTCAACCTGCCATACAAAAGGTCATGCAGAACCCACAAGCTGAAAGATTACAGAGCATACATGTTTACTTTGCACATCTGCAGATACGGCATAAATCGACTAAGTTAATATGAAACAAGAATGAGTGCCACTCTGACATCATTAAGGGCCAGATCCTGCAAGTACTTGGGCATCCAAGTCAGGCAGGGACTCACATTATTCCGCAGCAAATACTTGACCATGTCCGTGTTCCCCATTGAGGCTGCCAGGTGCAGAGGTGTTAGCTTGAAGTTATCAGTGTCGGAAAACCTGAACATCTCCCTCTCCCACAGGTACTGGGCAGCCAGCCTGCAAGGACAGTCAGAAGGATGTGGCAAAGGAAGGATGTGGGATCTGAAATGGAGGACAGTGAAGGGAGTCCATCCAAGCCAAGAGTGACTTACACGTTTCCCCCAGAGACTGCGTAGTGCAGGGCAGTTTTTCCCTGGAGATCAGTGATGCGTAGGTCCGCCCCATGCTGCAGCATTTGATGCATGATGTGGACATTACCTTGTCTAGAAAGGCAGCAGATATGAGTGACTGTGTAGCTTTTAGTGAGGTTACGGCTTATTCATGCATTGCCATTCGCTTCACCCTGAGGTTTTCTGACATATAGAGGATGCTATGATGACTCTCAAATCCTGCGTTAGAACTCACCTGCTGGCGAAGTGGAAGGCCGTTTGTCCTGCGTCGCATGTGGCGTTGCAGTCGGCCCCATGGCTCAGGAGGAGGTCCGCCAGCGGCCTGCTCCCCTGGAGAGCGGCAAAGTGCAGGGGAGTGAACCCCCCCCAGCCTGGCCCAACAGACAGACAGCAGATACCTCCCATCAGAAGGCTCCAAAAAAAACTGACCAAAGCTTCTGAAGCAGTTAAAGACCACAGAGACCAGACAGCCATGGTAAAAAAAACGCTTAGCTGACCCTAAACAAAGGGGTAAGTGATACATGGCATGGTGAGGAAGTCGATCTGTGTTTGGGCCAGAGGCTATGATGGATTTCACTGCGTCAGAGGTCAGTGAAGCTGTTCTTGGGACAGGATTGAAAGGAACCTGATCATCTAGGGCAGGGGTGGCCAATCTTATCCGCAAAGGGCCGGTGTGTATGCAGGTTTTTGGGATAACCTGTAGGTCAGCTGTTCAAACCCAGGTGTGAGGACTCTTCAGCCAATCAGTCCTCTAATTTGTAATCTAATTAGGAAGTTACAGCGAAAACCCGCACACACAGCGGCCCTTTGCGGATAAGATTGGCCACCTCTGATCTAGGGGAACATCAGAAATCGGACTTGAAAACACAGACCCTGGCCTTCCATGGATGGGGACTGCTGTCACTTCCAGATGGCAGTCAACCTTCAAACCCTTTTCAAGTAATGAATAATGGATGCATATAAGAAAGGGAAACGGAAATGGCTTTTGTGTGGTGTGACTGTCCTATCGATCCAAAAACAGTGGGTATTCACCGCCTGTGTATTTAGGAAATAATCATTACGGTTTCATATATCAGAAGAAGAATACAGCAATTATATAAAAGGACATGGCATTGTACCTCAGGCTGGAGAATAAAGCGCAGATACAGCCGTGGAAAAAAATCAAGAGACCACAGCACAATTTTTTTTCACGAATTTCTCTATTTATGGGTATGAATCTGCAAATTATATATATATATATATATATATATATATATATATATATATATATATATATATATATATATATATTGCAAACTACAGTCTGGCTATTCTTTCTTTCTCATCGATGAAGGGCTTCTTCCTTGCTTTATTGGACTTTTGTCCTGCTTCTAGGAGCCTGATATGAACTCTCCTAGCAGTGCACTTCACACCTGCACCTAATGTTTTCCATTCCTTTTGAAGGTCACTTGATGTCATCCTCCGATTCATGAGTCACTGTCAGATAAGTTAACTGTCATCTCTGGCATTAGAAAGTCGCTTCCAGCCCTTTACATGGCTGGTTTCTGGTCGTTGCCAGCGTCTCCTGCTTCACTTCGTTCTTGTATACTACTTTCTTAGAAATTTAGAATCTGGAAGCAACCTGCTGCTCAGCATAGCCTTCTGCCAGCAGAACCACAATTAACCCAGGATTAAAAAAATGCAGATTTGTTTCAAATTATACAGAGTGGTCTCAATTTTTTTCCGCGGGAGTACTGGGTATTTGTATGTGGGCGCTACCAAGTTGTATTTTTTCCTACTCAAGAGAGCAAGATTGCATATATAGCCAAGAGCGTAAGAGAAACATACCACAGACTAAGGCATTACTTTGGGTTGAGCACGGGGCGTTGAGGGCTCCACCCATTTAAGGGGGTTCAGGGGGTTTGTATTGACTGGTTTTGATTACTGGGGGGGGAGTTACGACCCCCCATCCCCCCCCATAATTTACGCCCATGCCACAGACAGAGAAAACGGAAACTTTTTCTTAATTAAAGGATCCTCCAGATATTCACATGACTCCCAGTTACCAGTTCATTTAGAATAAACACCAGAAACTATGAGAGGTAGCGCCCATCTGATAAATCATAACAGAGCATTAGCGTCAAGTTTCAAGCTTCAACGGGACGGGTCATTCGGCGGATCGGACAAACAGCAGGACAAGATAATAAAAATGCAATATAGGAATAAGTAGAGCTAATAATAAATAATTGGATATGTGGATGAGGTAGCTATGTGGAATGCGCAGATTTACAATAATATAGTATATAATGTTAATAAAGTGCAGGCAGTGAACTAACAATGTGGGAGCGTACAATGTGGGAGCGTGCAATGTAGTGGGTGGATAGATGCCGGTCGCTGGCAGCGGCAGCCAGGAACTGAGAGCACTGAGCATTAGAAGTCCTCACCTGTTTGCCTGACAGCTCCACGATCACGATTTAGATGCCGGGCACACTGCTCTGTGTCGCCTTTCTGGATAGCTTCAAATATGTCACCTACTTCCACGCTGTTACCTGCCGCGACGGGGGAAATCTTCATGATTTAAGGGTATTTTTATCCAATGAACAGGAATTGCTTGGGTGAAATATGAAGACACTAATTTCTTGCATTCCTTCCCGCCCATCTGCTAGGTCGCATGCTGATATGTTTGCACTGGAAAACGTGCCTTTCACACTCGCCACTGACTCCGTAATATCTCGCGCAGACAACGTCGCAGTCACGTGGCGTGCTAAATTGGCATAAGCTCCTCCTTCTGTTCAGGGTTGCCATGTTGTGGATGCGTGGAACCTATGTCTTATGTGTGGTGTAGGTTTGACCGTTTATTGGAAAAACCACGCCAAAAGACCGTATACGCTATTCATAAAGCACCTGCTGTGCAGAGGTAGAAAGTTAAGGTTCAGAAAGTACAAATCCAGACCAAGGTTTTCTTTCAACCAACCAGTTGAACATAAAGTGTCAAAGTTACTTAACTGATTGGTTGAAACAAAACCTTCCACATCTACTGTTGTGACCTTTCTGGATAATTAAATGCCGCGTTGTCAAAGCTGACAGGATCTGAAGATTAAAATTTGACACCTTTAGCGTCGAAGCGTGCCTTCGTTTCCTGTTCGAGTACCTGGCAAACCATTAAACAGTTAATTATATAGGCAAACAGCCCTGTTTCACTGCAAGTAAAATAAGACAATATTATAACGATATCCATTTTACAACCGTTTATTCTGAACAAAGCTGCGGAGCGGGTCCAAGACTAGCACCCATGTCAAACACAAGGCAGAGATGGACGAGATGTCAAATAACATTTAATGCTAAAATTATGGAATTCATATTGTAGATGGGTACTTAATGCCAACCACACCCTCTAAATGCACGAATGATTCATCCTTTGTGTATGAGTGTAACAGATGTTAGAGAATGATCAATTTCACCTAAAGTCCTGCTTTTATATAGTTTTATGTAAGGGAGGGTTTCGTGTTGGCCGTCATTTTCTTTTGGAAATGAAAGTGACAGAGACTAGCTGTCACCCCAGATGTGCTGTACATGTGTCTTTTCAATGTTCATTATTCAGGTATGTGAACTCTCTTCTATTTTGTCTATGACATTTATTTATGTTGACATGATGTTTATGTAATTTAAGGGTATTTGTATGTAGCTTGTTACTATTGCTGGTTGGTCGATCGAAGCCTGGCGCACTCTGCAGTGCCCCCTGGTGGGAGCGACATATATTTGCGATTTCTGCTGGTTAGTTCGCATTTCAGGGGTCGTACATGGGGGTTAGTATTAAATTTAGAATTTAGAATTAAGTGATCAGTGGTCATTGTCAACACACCACAGCACACAGTGCGCAACAATGAAATGTGACCTCTGCATTTGACCCATATGTGACAGGGGGCAGCTAATTCAGCGCCCGGGGAGTAGTGCTTGGGGACGGTACCTTGCTCAGGGTACCTCAGTGGTGACTTGCTGGTGGGGGATTCGAACCTGCAATCTTTCAATTCTACCCTAACCATCAAGCCACCACTGCCCTAAAAAAAAAAAAGCTATCTCCCTCATATGAGGTCGATGTGATAATATACGGTTTTTTGAGTAATGAAGCAGGAACGCTGTAATTCTGTGTAATTAACAAGTACAAAATAATAATAACAATAAAACAAGGCGTTATAGTTTTGCTTGTACGTTTTTTACATGATCGACAGTTTGTGCAATTTTCACTTTATTACTTTAAACTGACGGAACTCGTTTAATTAACTCAAGTATCCAACGTAGAACCGAGACAAGACAGGTGTCAATACGGACCAGACTGTTCCACCCCCATAATACATTTTCTAAACACACATGCTCCCGTACGTGCTTGGTGAGTTTAACGGTGAAAACTGCTGCGAGGGACCCGGCAGCTTGTATATAATTAATCTAACCTTTGCACAAACTATATCTGGCCCGTGGCGCTATTTTTACTGACCCCTGCGATCACTGACATGATAAATACGGGTAAACTTCTATATTTAAGTCTCATTTATAATCACAAATACAACTGCTACTTCTTTACTTTATTATTACAAAATAATAAGTTTTGTATTGTAGCTTTCATAGGACATAAAAATAATCATAAAAATTGTTTACTGATGGTTGAATCAGAAGTGACCCAAATAGTTTTTCTTTTTGTATACAAATTGTAATGACAGTTAAATAATTGTGATTGTGATTCTGCAAATGACCCAGTCTAACATGGTGAAGCTCGGATGTGCCCTCCACAGAAAATAATTGGCCAGGCCTAAGCGGAAAAAGAAAATGAAAAATGTGTACGTTAACTTACATTACCGATAGAGGTCGCTAAAGACTTGTCGATTTAAAAAAAATATATATTTTCTGGCTATTTATGGATTTTATATAATTGATAACCTGAAATATAAATTACAGTATAGCAGTGCAAGTCATATTTGTATTATGATTATGTTATCTTGAAAGACATCTCTGTCTAATATGTCCTTTGTGTTATTTAATGTAGCTGTACACCTTAGTAATGAGACAGTGAACTAAAGTTATTTCAAATGGTTGTGTTACAGTAATAACAGCTTTCTGCATTGACCATGGCTGTCAGTGTGACAGAGCCCCTGTGGCTGTCTGAGCTCACTGGCTGTCTGTACAAGTGTTGATAAACAGGAAGTAGCAGATGAGCGCTAAGTGAATGAGTAACTATCGTTATGGCTTATTGAAATGAGGAGAGAGCAGTGGAGGAAATGTAAGCTCTCTACTTCTGCTTTTCTGGTGAGTGGAGACACATGACCGGTGAGCTAATGAAAGAGCAACTACTTGGTCGACGTTCAGTCTTTTCTGCTCCAGCTGTGTCTCTGGAATGCTGTGATTCTGGATTAGCAGAGTATTTCCTGACAAACAGCCCTGTTCCTCTACAAGCCAAGGCACGTGCACATGAACCTACAGGTAAGTCTGACTGCATTATCATCCTGTAAATGGAGACCTCTCATAGAGGAACACAATTTTGCAAGAAAGGGAATTCTTGGGATTACTGTGGACATATAGAGTTCTGTTTCAGTTCACGCATAGACTTCTGTTACTGTCCATTTTAAATGTAAGTAAAGCAGTGAACTAACTAGTGTCACAAGATCACCATTACAAAAGAATATGTTCTAAGAAGAAGGAATTCTTCCTATTATGTATGTTTTATAGCCAGGGGTTATTCATTTGTAGAGACAGAAACAAAGAGTCTTTCACAATCTGCAGAAGGTGACTGTGAAAAAGTTCTGAAGTAAATTGTACAGATTCAGTGATGTAGTGAATTAAAAGGAAAAAACAGGGATCCCAGCAGAATGTGCAGAGAGAGATTTTTCTGGTATTACTAGAATTGTCTATTTCTTGTAGCAAAATGAAGCAGCCGCTGTGCATCACAAGATCAAATCAGGGACTAATGTAGACAGCTGACGCTAAATAGCTTAGAACGACTCAGGAACCAGAAACTTTCCCTAAGCTGAAGGCAGCACAAGATCCAGCTGCCGGTTTCCACTGAAAGCATGCTTGTTTCAGCCAGGGCTGTGTAAGTGCAGTGAGTCTTTTGGCTTTTTGAGGCTGACTCCTTTTACTGTGTGATTTTGTGTTGGTTTATACATCCTGTGAGTAAGTAATTATTTTTAACAGTAAATGAATAATGAGGGGGGGAGCAGTCACATGTTTGTATTTTGTTGGGGCTTAGCAGAGAAAACATGGAGGCAGTAGATAAGACTCGGAAGCTGGCAAAACCTGTCTCAGGCGACAGTGCGGACAGAGCCAGCCAACATGCCAGCAACCCAGAGTCAGCCCTCAGAGACCAGCTGGCCCAGTTGGGGGGCAGAGACCAGGGCTGGGGCTCAGTGCCAGAGGACGAGATCATCAGAATCCTGCCACTCTTCATACAGGTACAAAGGGTGTGGCTGGATCTGAGACACACCAGGGTCTTTATGAATGTGCTAGTTTAAATTTGGGGTTAGGGCTGTGTGTTGTTTGAAGTATTTCAGTCAGGTTCAGATTTCCCAAGTAGCCTATGAGAGCTTGAAACTTTTCTTGAAGAAGGAACAATAAGACACAGGAGAGATGTATTCTCTGTTATTAAAAGCCGGCTGTCTTTGACCAGAAACACTGATGCTGAATGAAGGCAATGTTAGGCCTGAGAGCAGCTCATTGTTCTGGACAGGCCTGATATCTTCCCACACGTGACCCTGCAGCCCTGTTTTACCATTAGACCCCAGCATGTCAGACTTATTATCATTTTCTCTCTTGTGCTGTAAGATGGTATGTTGATGTGCTTCATTTGATATGTTGATGGTCCCATAATAGAGAAGTGAAACCAGCATGGGATCTTTGGTAAATGGTTCTCCCCCCACCAAACCCCAGGTTTCTCAGAGCTGTGGGGTTATGGACGGCCTGGATCTCCAGGGCCTCGCATACCGCTGTGCTCAGATCGTGGTTTCCCATGTCCAACAGAAACTGCCAGGACAGCCTGCAGGTATGGAGACCTCACACTTCTCTATTGTACTATGCCCTAGGCTGGAGATTTTGTGTTTGTTTGATCTCCAGAAGGTTCCATCTTACGCTGCAGGTAGGTGTCACCTTACTGCAGTATTTATGAGTATGACACAGCTGTGGTATGTGACTGATGTACATCACAATGAGTCCCCATCACTCTTATCTGCTTCACATCTGCTTAGAGAGGCACCATGCATGTGAGGTCCAGGTACTTTTTTTGGGGAAGTGAGCTAGTTTTGTTTTCCGGTAGGGTGTTTGTGCTCGACACGCTGAATATGTCAGCAGCGCTTTCACTCCCTAGTTACGGTGCGATTTTTCAGCCGCCACCTTGGATTGCACCACACATGCGAGATACATGGTGTCCTAAGATAGTCCACAATGTTGCTCATATACATTACATTACAGGGATATGGGCAAAATAATACATGGCAGCCTTTAATTTCACAAAATACTTACTTCAAGAAGCATTTGTATGTGTTACCTAATGCAGTGCATGCTGGGACTGTGTAGTTGTTGCATTTCATTGGCTGGTGCTATTTTCCGCTAACAGAGGAAGGCCGGTTTGAAGTGGAGCAGTTCTTTCAGGAGAAAGCAGAAGTGCGAGACAGCAGGGGCTGGCTGCTGTTACACACACTGTCACTGCTGTCTGCTCAGAGTCCTGTGAGTAAATGAAAGGCTTCCTATTACCGTCTGTGTTGACAGAATGG